AGGGCGTCGGCGGGGGGAGGGTGGGGTTTGGGGTAGAGACCGAGAGAAGAAAGAGGGAGGAGGGTGAAGCTTTTCTAATTGCTTTCCATTTTTTTCATTAATTTTCTTGATTATTTTATTTTTTATCATTGTTTAAAAGGTTGCTTTGGTGCAACACCACAGATGATGTTGAATGCGTGTGTGACTTAGACATGGGTTTTCCTTTTTCAGAATTACAAATTACTAGTTTTTGAGTACAGACCTAGATCACATGGAGCGGGATCTAGAGCAAGAGAGCGCAAAATTTCAAACATAGTTGGGAGCGGGAGCATCACTAATAGTGTCAAATTTATATATTTTACTTCGTGATATACATAAGAAAAGAGTGTATCAAAATACCAAAAATGAAAAATAAGATCAATTAGTAGTGGTAAAGAAATAAAGAAAGTCATTTCCAAATCAGTAGAGTGTCTGTACTTTGAATGGCAAGGCTCCATATATAATACTGTTGTCTCACATTGGTAGATTATACAGGAGCTAAATGGGAAGTAGGCTAGATAAGAGCACAACTGTTGGCTTTGTTGGCAAAGAAATGGCTCTTCTTTTGGGCCAAGTCCATTTGTGTATGAAAAATACTTATTGGGCCAGGGCGAAATCCATTAATTAGTTTAAATTTTTCTAATGTGTGGAGATAGACTCCAAAAGTTTCAAATACACTGATGGAATTCGCGGATTGGCATTCAGAATGCAAATCCATTGGGGAATACCGGCGAATCGTGTGATCTAGGGACAGACTGGATAATTGACTTGGTTTACATGATTTAAGCAGTAAAGTTAATTAACTGATGCACTCTAATTTTGGTTTACAAAAGGCATTCTTTGCCTGAGGTTGGAGGGGAGAAGTGGCTTGGCATTGATTTGGTGGAGGCAGAGTGGCAGTGGTGACTGTAGTGGTATTGTAGCAGAGGTGTTGGCTCCAAAACTTTATAGTGTGGTGGTGGCTGCAATTTGTTCTTATCCCCGTTTGAGAAACCATTGTATACTACTTCCACCACAGGGATGACATTTGCCTAAAAAAAAATTGACGATCATGAATTTCTTTGCGACCTAGCAATACTTATATATTGATGGTATTATCGCATTATATACTCCTTAAACGCCCACTTTTAAATGTTACTAGATACGCTACAGTTATTGGCTAGAAATGAGTTAAGAATACGATACGGCCTGCATTTTGGTTGATACTAGATAGGCCAAGGCTAAGGAACTAATAGGTAATGCAATCTAGTGATTGAACCATGGGTTTTCTGTACACAAATCATCTCCTTTCCAAAATGTTCAGGCTAGAAAAAACTTGTTTTAATGATTGGATCCACCTTTCATTCTATATTTCCAATTTTTTGAGTCAATACTGTAATGACTTGAGACAGATTTTTCCCCTTCCTTTTTTTGCCGTTGTTCTGATTTTTGTGTTATCATCTGTCATCACTGTAAATCTAAAAAGGAGCAAAAAAAGAGGAAGAGAGTGTACTAACTTTCATTTGGTGCAGACTGACTGGGAGGGTGGCTGCTATCCACTTACAATGCATTTCAGCGAGGACTACCCTAGCAAGCCCCCAAAATGCAGGTTTCCTCCAGGGTTCTTCCACCCTAACGTGTATCCGTCTGGAACTGTATGTTTGTCTATCCTCAATGAGGACAGCGTAAGTACTTGTCAATGCTCTTATCTGACTATGCCAACATTTAATTGGTTTTTACACCCGGCAACCAGTCCTACTCATACCTATCATGTTTGACGTTTTGATTAGGGGTGGAGACCAGCGATTACAGTGAAACAAATTCTAGTGGGCATTCAGGATTTGCTGGACCAGCCTAACCCTGCTGATCCAGCACAAACTGATGGATATCAACTCTACATGCAGGTCTTTTGTGCTCTCAAGATATTCAGTTCTCTGGTGTTTAAATATTCATCTAGTGCTTCAAGAAAGATATTTCTCTTTAATTCTGAAGGATTTGTAATGCATTTGCAGGAGCCTGTTGAGTACAAAAGAAGGGTGCGGCAGCAGGCTAAGCTGTACCCACCTGTCGTCTAATGTTGTTCCTGCGCCCTCTGTAATTATGTTGGATTGCTAGATGTCATTTGTGTGATTGTGAAATAGACTTTAATTGGTATTTATCATCAAACTTTGGCTATTGGGCAGCTCAAAGTTGGTGCATGTCTAACCTTTAAAGGTATATGTTTTGTCATGGTTCTGTGTGACTGTAATACGTTCACAACGTTGCTTTTGGATATGTTAGTTATGAAAAACTGAAACATAAATGTTCGTTTCTAATGCAGTATGCAAGTGTAGTATTGTATATTTTAATCAATAAAGTATCCACGTTCTAACTAGTAATCAAACCTGCGGCTTCCCTGGTGATGGGCAAGATAATATACCACTTGAGAGCAGATTTGGTTGCACTAACATTCTTATTCTCGGCAAATGGTTTTACACCCAGAAGCTCAGCCAACATTACATGTAACGTGTTGCCTAAACCAATCATGGCTACATTGCTTTCTTCTTTAGTAACATATCATGTGACACTCACACGAATCATGAATGTCTCTTTCACACGCGCGCACACACGTACACTATCATGTATAGACTCGCTAACAAAAATGCTTACATGCACATGTTCACCTACCCTTTGAAGAGCTAGCAATGCTAAAAATTGCACTATCTTTGTCTGTATGATCTGATCTCTTTAATCAAAACTTTCATGTCCCTGTAAGAGGAACCATCTTCTTGAACAGCCTTCTTTGCTAAATCGCTTAGTTGCCCTGCCTTCTTCCTCATTTGCTCTGCTTCTTCTCTGTCGCCCATTACTTTATTCACTGCCTTCTCAATTTTCTCGCCGCTGATCAATTCTGTCTCCTCAGTGGCCCATGCCTTCCAGACCTCATTTCCAACAGGAACACCGAATTTCAACACCTGAGTCACGAGCTTCTCATTGTAAAACTGTTCTGCGAATATAGGCCACGTGACCATGGGAACACCGGCTGTTACACCTTCAAGAATCGAGTTCCATCCACAATGTGTCAAGAACCCTCCAATAGCTGGATGTCCAAGTATCAACACCTGTGGTGCCCAACCCTTGATGATCATCCCTTGGCCAGATTCCTCCATCCTCTCCTCAAACCCTTCTGGTAACCACCAATCATCTTGCTGGTCCTGTCCATCTTTGCTTGTTTCCAAAACTTTTCCGACAACCCAAATGAAGGAATGACGCATACCTTCCAGAGTGTTAGCAATCTCGGTTAGTTGCGTTTTGCTGAATCGCGTTAAACTTCCCAAACACACGTATAGAACTGAGTTGGGCTTCTTAGAATCGAGCCAACTAAGGCATCTGAGCTTACCAACAGAAGCTTTGCCCCCTCTTTCAGCTTTATCGGCCTCGTCTTTGCAGAAAAGGGACACAGGACCTACATGCCATGCATTTATCCCAATAACCTTCCTATAGTAATCTGCATAACCTGCCTCCAAATCGTAGAAGCTGTTCACCAACATCCCGAAGCTCTTTCTCTCAGCCTCTCTGAGTTTATCAAACAACTCGGAGAATTTATTTCTGGTTTTAACAATATCAGGCAATTGTGATCTCGTGAGCACTACTTGGTCTGGCAAGCTTGGCACGAAGAAGGGCTCTGTCTCAGATTCGATGTTCTTGTGAGGTTGATAATGTTCGACACAATGTGCAACGGAGAGATTGAAGAATCCGCTGCCGCTGAAGGCGAGCCTCGGAATGCCAAGCTCTGCTGCAACATCAGTAGTCCAAGGAAAGAGAACATCGGAGGCAATGCAATTGGGCCGGTGTTGGCGTAACAGTTTTTCAATGTCTGGCCGGAGCATTTCGATGGCATGGAAAAGTTTTATGGACATTTCAGGGGTTGGAGTATTGCTTAAATTCTCGCAGCCTTCGGGAAGGCCAGCTTCAGCAGATGAGAAATGAAGTGTCTCAACTGCAATCTGATTCCCACCTTTGACGTCTCGATCAATGGCACCTTTGAAATGTTGGGCATTCATTGGGGTGGTTATGATGGTTACCCGAACAGCGTGCGCTGCGAATAACCGGGCAATGTCTACAAGGGGCATCATGTGGCCTGGTGCCATGTAGGGAAGGAAAATGACATGGAGCTGTTCATCTCTTGAATCCATGGTTGAAGTTTGGGTTCAGAGAGATGATCAGCTCCGAGCTCGAGAGGCAAAGCAATTACATGGTTTTTGCAGCAAAAAAGGATTAAAAAGCATACATGCTGATGCTAGTTGAAGGCCATCCAATTTTGGGAAGGGAATGAAGAGTGCAGCTATAAAGTCTCATGGCCAGATATGTGTATGATTTGAGACTTCTTCTGTGAGAATGAAGTACAACAATAAATTTAGGCTGCCCCATTATATAGGAAGTGGTATCGGGTTCGACTTATAAAAATAACCTATTTGTACGTTAGAATAAGACTCTAAATATTTGAGCCTTTCAATGCAAACAATGACCAAAGTTTTGTGCATGAGGTTGTCTTTTAATTAATGAGATTGACTTTAAGTTGGATGGATGCTAGTTGCAAAGATCTAGCAAGGGTACGAGTACAATCGAAGTAAAAATGTTCATATCTAATTAAAGATTCTACAGTAACGAGTCAAAAATGTTCATATCTAATTAACCACATCAAAATGTCAAAAATGTTCATATCTAAAGGTTGAGATTATACCACATCAAGTAGTGTAGATGAGGTGATGCACAAATGGAATGTACATCATTATATACATCCTTAATAAAAGTAGGTTATTTTTGGTAAAACGTCATTAAGTTATTCTAATAATAAATAAAGTCAATAGTGACTCCGTTGTGGGAAGAGCCATTTCTTTCTTATTTGATAGAGGAGCTTCCATTCATCAGCGCAAACTAAAAGAGCTCTCCAAACTGTGTTGGATAGTTACTTGTAAACACTTCAATGGTCTCTTCAAGCTAGAGACCTCGAATATTTAATAAAAGTATCAAATTTAGTAGTTCACCATTGATCCAACGGTTACAGATGATTTAGTGTATATTTTAGTGCACACTTTAGGTGTGTATAGTAAGTATTTGCTTGATCCTTTTCTCTCCTCTCCTCTAGCTTTCTATTTAGTAAGGAAGTGAGGCACTAGAAGATATATCAAACAACACACTGGAGGATTCATGGGACCATTTATAGCTCCCCTAAGCTCACAAATTAAGATGCTAATAAGCTCTTCTTTGTCCCATGTTTTGTTTCAATAATGTGATCAAACCCACAAATCAAGGATGATTGTATAACTTTGATGGGGTCGCCGTGTAATTATATAATTGAGATGGGGTAGCCGTGTAATTATATAATTGTGATGGGGGTAGCCGTGCCATTTGATCAAATATTAAGGATTCGTCAAAATTTTACAAAAATAGACTACGGTACCCAAAAAAAAAAGGTTCAGATTCATGCCTCAAAAATATATTATTTTAATGGGTATTTTTATAATTTTTATGGGTTATTTTATAACTAAAAAATTTATCACTTTTGTAGATATTTATCATATTTTTGAATATTTTTATTACTGTTATAGTAATTATTTTTATCACTTTTTTCGTACAAAAAAAATTATTATTTTTGTGGGTGATTTATCGAAGTTGTAAGTATTTTTACTATTATTGTAAGTATTATCATTATTGTAGTAACTATTTTTATTATTTTTTTAAGTACCATAATTAAAATAAAAATACTCATAAATATAATAAAAATCGATACAGTACCAAGTAGATAACTCCTTACGATTAGATTCTTAAAATACGATTTGTTCATTAAAAAGGTGCAATTCCCCATTGTGACCAAATGGAATTGAAAAATACTATGTAATTTAAATTTATAATTCAAATAAAAGGGGATCATTGGATGAATGAGTTCCATCAATTTTTTTAAATGACACCTATTGATCCAATAATCCCCTTTTATTTGAGATGTAAATTGAGTTGTACATTTGAATTACATAATATTGCTCGAATTGAATTTCTCAAATCTCTCGTAAAGAGTCCAAAATTTCATGATTTTTCCATAATTATTGTCAATACATATTATGGCCCACATGTTTAGGGTAATACTTATGTAATAGAATAGGAGCAATGCTATTAAGATCTAATTAGAACCTAATCTAATACGTTCATTGTATTAATTGTGAATTTTAACATTAGACAGAGCTCACTTTTAATCCAACAGTTGTAATTAATTAATCCCCAAATTAAATCTAAATATTATTTTCCAACAGAAAAAGATGGATTTGAAGCCCCAACCTAGCAAATATAACTAGTCCGACACACAACGTATAGGCCCAAGGGTCATATCAATTGAACAAAGGGAGACAACAGCCCATGACGTGCCATGGGCTGTAGAGACAGGCTATTTCGGCCTTAATTGGTCCAGCCCACCGTTTTCATGGGCTAAAAACTATGGCCCATGATCCTACCCATCAAGCTATTGAGCTACTCAAGGTGCATCACCCCACCCCATCGCTGGGCAAAGCAGGCCAGCCATTGGTCTACAGGCCATCTGCTGACCCTTGAATAGAATATGTATGTCTTGGATGATTCACCTTTTGAATAGTCAGGTTGGCAGATTTGATGACTGATGATACTTTAAATAAGTTCTAGCTGTGAGCTTAGATCAGAAGGTCAGGAAAGACAGGAGGAATTCAGAGAATCAGGGGTGGAGTTCCCTTTGGGGAGATCATAGTTGAATCGACCAAGAAACAGTTGGATGACTACGAAAATTGAGTCTCATGCATAAAACTCTCAACCAATCAAGATTCTCTCTTAAAATCAAGGAGGATCCCATGAATAATGGGCAAAGATTTTGGCTGAAATCCCACAGAATGGGAGGCAGCTTTATAAATACTATGTAACGCCTCATCGAGAGAGAGAGAAAAAAAAAAAAGAACTCTAATCAAATTGTGCATTGTCTTGTATTACGTTCAAATAATCAATAGAAAAGAAAAGAAACAAGAGCCTCCATTTGAGAGTGGATTAGCCGAGCTCTAGTGCCAGTGAACCACTATATTCATACTGTGCAAATTCCCCTATCTCCTAAGAAACACTTTATCACTACCATTACGAAGTTGGCAGCCTAACTCCCCCGTTGATTCCACGCACTCTATTCACTCAGATCAATTTGGCACCATCAATGACAAACCCTTATCATTATACTTGTTTATTTGAAGTAGGTGTTTGGTAAAATTCAATTCTGTTGTTCTATGATGTCACATGATTTGCTAATGTTGAATTATAAACACTTCAATGATCACTTCCTTCAAGCGACAGACCTTGAATTTGCAATCAATGTATTAGCGTTCTTCTTTTATATAGTTCTTCTGAATCTGTTAGATCTTTGACATATTCGTCATTAAGACGATGACTTTACACTTGATCCTTATGTTGTTCGTTCTTGTTTTTTGGTTATTTTTTTCCCCTTTCCCCTCCAGTCAATTGAATTATTAAGTATCACTGGTGGATTCATGAGACAAAAAATTATTTTCTTTCGAACGCCTTGAATTTGTTTATAACAGAGTTCATCGAAGAAATAAATTCATGAAATTGTTGGGAAATCTGTATATAATCAAATTTTCATGTACAAAGTAAGAAAACTGATTTTTTTCTAATGTACAGAGAGTTGTGGTAACAAAAATGTACCTGTAGTACTGTTTTCTCTGTCTTTTTGAATGGGAGATCAGCATATGGACTTTACATTGCTTAAAGGCTGTTTGATGTCAATCAAGCTTCTGTTGTGTCTCGACGGATTGAATTTGGATTCAACAACTGAGCAAGGATGACATCCACAAATCGAGAAATGGTATATCTGTGTGTGAATTTTAGTGATTATTCGCATTTTTTGGGCTACAATACTGTGTTTGGGGATCTTCCGCAACTATCCAAGACAATTTCAAACAAATCACCTTCAGACTCTCCATCAAAATCTACAGCTTGTTTACTACTGCCATTGTTGTAGATGTTTCGGGTTGCACTTCGATTCAGCCATTGGGAATCGATTCTTCCCATTGAGAAAAGCTCTCTGCTATCGTCATACCCCAATGCAGGCGAGTTTTGTAGAGGGCCAATGAAGCAAGGATTTGGAGTTCTTTGTGAATTTGCAGATGAATACTTGAATGCACTTTGTCCAAAATTGACAAGTACCATAATGTCACTATTTGCAGCCAAAACTGGATATAGAGGAGTCCCAAATTCATCAGACTTGCAATAAATTTCATGTACAAGTTCAGAATCAACTGTAAAGAACACCTTTCTCTGGCTCGGATTGTACCCACAACCAATCACCTTATTTATTCTTCCCCAATCTGCCTTTTCCGATTCAAACACAAGTTTAATTCCTGAGAAACAAAAAAAAACATGAAAAAATAAATGTTAACTACTAACTTGAGAACGCAGGCAAGACATATCTCATTGGGTCAGTCTTTTTCACCACATCGCGTATAATGGGAATCGAACCTCTACTGACGAGCGGATAGAGAATATCCTATTTCGATCCAACAACTTGTTAGGGGTAGGTTTTGTTTTAGCAAGTACTACTGTACAATTGCATTGTTCATGATCTTCATTACTTGTCATAGAAAGTGGTCCTTGTCATTTTTCCAGTGAGAGAATAAGTTATTTGTTTGGTGAATGCTCCACATTGCTAATGCACATTTTATAATATAAGCTGCTAATAATTGGCTGCTGTTCTTTTCTACACATTGCCTAATGTCCATAAAACTTTTTAAGGATAACATACTGTAATAGGCCCGCAAGTATACGTTTTGTATTACTTTGGTCCTTATGTTTTCATTTTTCACTTTGGTTCATCAAGTTTTAAATTTGTGTAACTTTGATCCCATAGAAAGCGACTGTTTAAATGGACTAACGAGGTGATCGTGCATACCACTCTTAAGGGATCATTCGACTCTCCCAACTGTATAGTTTGTGTTACCTTGGTCCCTTAATATGTCTCATCTTAGTCCCTAGGTGTTTGATAGAATGTTTTTTTAAGTGTTGTTATTTAAGACGTACATGGCTACCCCGTTATTCAATTTAAACTACTATTCTCTAGTAGATAAAAGTTGCAGAAATTGGATGCTTTTAAGGACTAATGTAACCCAATTCGAAAAATAAAAAACAAATCAACATAAAATTCACAATTAAGGAGCTATAATTATGTTTTGACCACTTCTAAAGATTGGTTTTGACCTTTGAGCTCTCTTTGACAACCATGGTAGCTCAATTAGGAGAAGAGGACTTACCATCAAGATAAACAGAACCATCCGAGTTAAACCCAATTGATCCAGGATAGCCACCAGGAAGCTTGAGAGGAAGAGAGCCACTTCCAGTAAGCCCCAAAGACAACATTACGACATCGCCTCGGCCATCGTCCCTACCATCAACCTTCAATTCTTCTAGCCTCTTGTTGCCTTGGCCATGGCCATGGCCACTAGTAACATGAACGAAAGACTCAGAATTTGCTTTTGCATTTGAATTCTCCTGTATGAGCTTAGTCTTCTCACCTTCAGTTTTCACGTGATCATCTTCATCAGAAGACAGGATTGTGATCTCAAAATAGGCTTCTTGTGGGAAGGAAGAGTTTCCTAAAGGCGGTCCGGGCAAAGGCAAGGCTGTTTTGATCACAGATTGAGCAGACCCTATTGGAGAATTGATTGAATTGATGTTGTTCAAACCAGAATTAAGTCTAATTTTTTGCATGAAATCAGCTGATCCTTGACAAACCTCCCAGCTAATCTCCACCTCCATTCCTCTTCCATGCTCACCAGCTGCACATACACCCAAGAGTGACCTAGCTGATCTAATGGATGGAGAAGACATGTACGTTGTGAAAGCAAAACTTGACCATCCATTTTCAACAGCATCTGTGACAAGAGAAGGATGATCAGACCAACTAAACAAAGGTTTTGACGAAACCCCACGTCGAAAAACGTAGTAATTTGTTCTTCCTTTGTTGCTAAAATCCATTTGATGATGATGATGAAGACTGAGAGGGTGAAGTTTTGCAATCCCGTTCTGCATAGTCTCAGCTCTTTCTTCGATCGTATTTTCGAAATCTTTATGTTGTCTATGGCAACAATATCGCCGGAGAAACACAACCGAAACTACGACGAGAACTCCGGTAGAGGCCGCCGCCAGAGTAATTGGTAACAATCCAAGCATTTCTTCTCCACCAATCACCCCAGACTATGAGATTATGATCTTTTTTCTGACTTTTTCTATGAGTATGTCTGCGTAAAACACAAGAGGGGTTGATTTTCTAAGGAAAATATCTGTAAAGCGAGAGAATTTTCAAGGCGGAGATGATTGAAGAAGGCCGGCGTGGACTTGACTGATTCAAGAAAGGCAGCAATAGAGACACCAGAGAGAGAGAGAGAGAGAGAGAGAGAATGGTGGAAAAACAATAATAGGAAGGTGGTGTTGTTGAGAGATGACATTCACATCTTTCTTTATTGACTCCATCCCTCTTTAATAAATACAAATCGAAACCGACACCCATCCTTTGCATTAAGACGCGTTTGTTGATACCTTTCATCTTCAAAGGAGAGAGAGAGAGAGAGAGAGAGAGAGAGACATGTCTGAGGTTTGAGGTTTGTGTTGGTAAACCCTTCTAGGTAAGTTCTTCTAGAAGAAAAAATATTCATTGTAATGCGATATCGTGTCAATATTATTACTCAATAATTATCCGTCAATATAAGTCAATAACTATTCGTTCTTCTTTCATGAAAACTAATAATTATCCAAATGAGATTTATTTTACTCATTTTAAGTTTTATTCTTAGATGGTGAGTGTTGTATTGACAGCAAACTTTTGGTGGGACTTTGAATCATTCCTAAATTTTGTTTGTCTGATATTTGGATATTGGAAGGAGACAATGAGTCAGATAGTGTTACCACAAAGATGGGACAAATTTAAGAAAATTAAAAAAAAAAAAAGGTTTGGAAACATAGGGAACATATACTTTTTATCGTTGGTTGTGATGGTAGTTTTTCTTTTTTGTCGAGGGCAGTTGATCCATATATAGTTATAATCAGCTCCATTGGGGTGATAGTGAGGTAATGATTCATCTTGATTCTTAAAATAAACTATAAGAAAATAAAATTTAGAAGAAAATAAAAGGGGGAAATGCCAAATTGCCAATCATCAAAAGGCCATCTAAGCAATGAAAGAAAAATCAATAGTAGAAGGGTTGAGAATTTATTACAATAATATTATTCAAATTTAATTTATTGTTGGATTGACGGTGAAACCAACTCAATATTGAAATTTATTGATAATCTAACATGATAATGAAATAGATTAGTACATTAGGTTCAAATAGCATTACTCTAGTTATTAAATGTGTTTTCCTTCTCCGTTTTTTTTTTGGTTTAATAGTCTGAGATGTCCAGATCAGTATATGCGCACCTCGACTAATCCCCTTTCCGATCTAGTCAAAGGCAGACCATCAATGCCGAGACTGAAAAATTCATGAGGGATAATTTCTTCATAGACCGACTCCCAAGAGATTGTCAAGATTTAAACTTAGGACATCTAGGCTTACAGTTCGTATTTATTACTATTTGATCTAACCCTTGAAATTATTAAATGTGTTTTCCACATGGTGTTTTGAAGTCAACAATGTTTTGAAAGTTTATTGTATAGATATAAGGGGCACTTATAATTCTAACAAAAATCTTCCTTCTGTTTGTTTATTAGTATTATTTTAGGGGGTGTACCATTCCATTGTATCTCTGCAGACTCTACGGCTTGTTTAAGACTCAATTTTGCAAGAAGGGCATGTTGCCAATATCTTCTAAATCCTTCAATTTCTTTCCTTGATCTTAATATTTGAGTTAAAGTCCCAAACTAATATATTTTTTGTATACATATTTTTTTTTTCAGTTGATGGAGATCATCCCAACTAAACGTGTTTTAGACTCATGACTAAAACACGAAAATCAGATCTGTATGGTCACTCAATAACCACATACACCGGTTAAAAGCGATTAGTATATTTCCTCAATTCATATACAACGTAAAGCATATGGAATCTTGGCATCAACACCATTGAGACAACCTTGCATGCTTAAATATTATGATCTTATTTCAACTAAACCCCCCACCAAATAAATAATTTAATCCCTTATAAAAATGACAAAGCAATTATCTAATTTATCTATAATCATCCAGCTAAGACAATCACTGTCGGCTGGAATACAATCACTTTTGTCTTCCTCATGTACTAAATATTAATTGGAGTTTAGTAAGACACCATATGTGTTATAATGCTAGAGATAGTTGCCATTAATCAAGAACCATTAACTTATTAAAGCAATACCAAGAAGTGGGGTTCCTATTCAACCACTAATTTTGTTCAAGTAAAGCTCCAAAATTGTAAGTAGTTAGGTTTCACGTGCAATGAGGTTGGTTTAGTAGTCAACGAAAGGATCTTAAGACATAAACGATCATTTCCGAAGTTCAAGTTTTTTGTTCATAAAACTCATTATAAAGTTTACATATGGGTGATTACATACATCCGAGAGTTATATACGTAATTAAGACGATTCTCGATTTAAAATCCCCAAAAAAGTGGGGTTTCTTTTAATCCAATATTCCTTCAAGCAAAGCTTTAAAGTATTAAGCAGTCAACTACAGCTGCAAATGTGTTGGCGGAGAAGTAGAACAAAAAGTTGTTGGCATGTCCAAAGGTGAGCGGTTAGGTGCCAATCTTGGCTTTGCGCTCTTGGTGAAGTTACCTAATGGGTGAGTTTAGTCTGAAGTTCCATTACTCTTTCTAATGGAGGAGCCAAAAAAAAAAAAGAAGAAATAATTCAGAATAGTAAATAGGCTCGTTGAGAACCGACTTTTTTTTGTACGAAACAAAGGTTTGAAAAATGAAATGAAAAAGTCAGAGTTAAAAAAACTCTTGTAAATGTTTGGAATGTTTTCAAAAAAGTCGGTTTTTCTTTGAAAGTCATTTGATAAGTCCCATTTTTCAAATTTTCCTTTGTGTTGATAAAAGTTGTTTTTACCCAAAAAAATGATGGAAAAACTCTCCAATAAGTTTGGATCCAAAGAGACCAGACCTTTTTTCCTATAAAATAAAAAAGAAAATTGAGGTTTTCAGCCCCTTCCAAACAGGTCCAATGTCGTAGGAAGAAAACAACCGTTTCACACACACACATATATGCACACTCTGATTTATAGTCTAAAATTTTTTAAAGAATGAAAGTATTGTGGAAATTGAAATTTTTAAACAAAGAGTAACGATTTTGCACATACCATCACCATTTTGAGTCCTAATCTAGATAATGACTGCATATTTTTTTTTTTTTTTTTTACTAAAAATAACTGGTTTTATAAAGCTGGAGTAAATTGAAAGAATACGAAAGCACTCATGTTTCTTTAGGGTAGTAAAACTAATAAACATAGAAAATAAGATTTAGGTCATCGTAAAAAACCCATTCTGAATGAAACTAAACAACACTTGGTCAATGACTAAATGAATACATAGGACAAAGACTTAAATATTGACAAAACAATCGTTGTATCCGACATGTGTTATAGTTTATTTGAAATATTTCAATGGTGTAACGCAACCAATGACGTAACTTTTATTAAATTAGAAAGATATTCGAAAAAAAAATAATATTATTGAAACTTAATTTATTAACTTAATTTGTTAATTTAATTCATTGTGACTTTTGGATTAACTGTAAAATTTATCAAACATTAAAATTTAGTGTTGATCTAATAATTCTTATGAAATTACATCATTATGCCTACAAATTAGGTCATATGTTTAAATGCAAATAGCACAATTCTTCAAAAAATATCCAAATCCCAATCTTTAACAAAAAAAACTCGAAATATGGGAGAAAAAAATGAAAAATATGTTGGGATATTGAATTTTTAGAACCCTTATGTTTCATTTATGCTCCGTTTGGTAAGATGAAAAAGTGGGAAGATCAAAAGTTGAAAGGATGGAAAGTTGGAGGGATAAATAAAACATCATGTTTGGTAAGAAATGAAAGTAGGAAGGATAGAAAAATGGATGGATTAACTTTCCTTCCAACTCACAAAAATCAATCCCTCCAAAATCGAAAGACAAGTGGATGAAAAATTAATTATTTGTGTTGAGATGTATCTTATTTGTTTATATATCTTATGTATACATTAATTTCATATAAAAATACAATGGTAAAATATGTATATATATTTTAAAAAAATTTAAAAATTAATTTTTTAAAAAATAAAGAAAATTTTAAATTTTAAAAAAATAATAAAAATAAAAATTTTAAGTTAAAAAAAATATTTTTTCCATCTTAACTAAAAGTGAAAATTTTCGACTCAACACGATGACACGACTCGAACTCGATGCGAAAATAAATAGGTCAACTCGCAACTCGACACGATACAATTAGTTAAATGAGTTAAATTATATTTGACTAATATTCGACACAAACTCGTAATGACTTAACACGAATCTAACACGACATAACTCGATTCTATTGTTACCTCTAATCTTAGCCAGCACAAAAAAAAAATAGTCTTTTTTATTTTCCATCCATCGAACCAAACACAAAAAAAAAAAAAGTGTATCATTCCTACTTTTCATTTTTGAAAGATAGAAAATGTATCTCTCATACTTTCCATCCTCTTTACCAAACGGAGCATTAGTATGATAAAAAATGGAATGATCAAAAATTGGAAGGATAAATAAAATATCATGTTTGGTAAGAAGGAAAAATAGGAAGGATAGAAAAGTGGATGAATTAACTTTTCTTTTAACTCATCAAAATCAATTCCTTTAAAATTGAGAGGGAAAGTAAACGAGAAATTAATTATGTATGTTATTTATCTATGTATCTTTTGATATATAAATATATCATATTTATCAATTATATATTATATTTACATTAATGTTACATATAGATAAAATAGTAAAATATGTATTTAGATTTTTTTCAAAAAAAAATATTTTTTTCATCTTACCAAATACAAAAAAAAAAACTCAATTATTCTTATTTTTCATCCCTCTTACTAAACACAAAAGAAGAAAAAAAAGATTTATCCCTTGAAAGATAGAAAATATATCACTCTCACATTCTATTCTTCCATTTTTCTATCCAAAGTATATCACTCCTACTTTCTATTCTTCCTTTGATAATCTAAAGATCTCAGATTCAATTTATTTTCACACCCCCTAAAGAATACCCACTCTTTTCCCTTTAGAGATATACTCTAACTAAGTTCAAATTACAGTGACCAATCGTTGAATTCAAGAGAATAGTCGGCACAAACTTAAAATACCTGATAAAGAAAAAAAAGTAACTATTTTCTGTAGAGGAACATAAGAAGGAGGGTCATGATGACTCAACTGTAATCGGCACCATCTAGGAAACAATCAAAGTATGGGCAATGGCGAAGAACATTGCATAAAGGGCAAAAAAGTGAAAGTAAAAAGATAGATGAACATAAACAAAAAGACACCAAAATTGAGGTACGTTTGTATATTGAAATAAAACTTTTTTTTTTAATGAGGAAAACTTTTTTTGTGGGGGATAACCTAAATAGTAGGCAAAACCATGTAAGTAAGAGCCTGGTCCATGTCATTTGTCTCCTTCTTTCGGACAAAGTTCTCCACCTGAATGATTGGGTGTGTGGCACATTTGAAGGAAATCTCGGACCTAGGAAACTAGACCATGTTTTGTCACAAACACGTCAATAATGTGTCAGCAATTGAGGAATTTGGGCTTGGCCAATAATTCATGATCTATTAATTCAAGAGGGAGAGTTGGCACATTTTGATATTAATATATAATTTATTGTATTTTAAGGGGTCCATAATTTTTTGATCGTTATTTGATAACTAGATTTAAATAGTTTACACGTGCTCAAAAGAATTATTTGGAATGACTCTATTATAACCGAACAGATTGAATAAAAAGCCGACAAAGAAAATAAATTAATTGAAAATGGTCTGCTTGATAAAAATATTCCAAAGCAAAGAAGTATGTGTGGAATTGAACCACATGAAGTATGCTCTCAAAGGGATACTATAAGAGTAGAGTTAAGACCAGAGTTTGACTCTTTAACTTCTGAAAAAATGAGCTCAATCCAAACAAGATAATATATCTAGGTCATCCCTATAAACCCGAGATGATTAATCGGTTGAAGTCTAGACATTGAGAAAAGACCAAGTAAAGAGATAGTTAGGTTACCCCTAATAACCAGGAATGGTGTTAGGTAGCCAATAAAAAAATTGCATAAATCATAAGTGCACATTAGAAATATGTGATCTTAAGAATTGACAAATAAGAAATGAAGTCCAAAAAGACTTCTATACAAATTAAGGAAAATTTAACTAAAAAATAGGTGTATTACCTAATGTAATCAATGATGAAAACCCTAGAAGAGGCTACATATATAAATACCGAAAGCTCAAGTCCAAATGTCTAATATACGCATTTCTTTTCCTACCTTTATTGACTTAAGCATCAAAGTACCTGCACGGGATAATTCCTGTAATAGTTCGAGATAGCGACCTCCAAGTTGGCGAACCTGAAACAACAGAATTAGAAAAAGGGGACCAGGTGAAGACCCGACTTCTCTCCTCTGAAACTTAAATCAGTATTAAGATTCGACGCTCAAATTCAATGAATAGTCTTTTCTGGTTCCAGTTTGCGTACCTTTGTTCATATTTCTGAGGAGTATTTATACATGAATTAGCAATGGTTGCTAAAGACCTCCAATCTCATCTGGACGTTTAATATATGACACATCAGTCCTCGCATAATGAGTTTTCTCCACTCACGTCTCCTCCTATTAAATGCTAGGATGATGGGACGAATGCTCAGCTGAATGCCGAGCATTTATGCCATTCCACGAGTATCCAAATCTTTCAGATCGGCATTTGATATCAACTAAGCATTGAATACTTGAGGGAACAGTTCCTCGGGGAGAACCGATCGTATCATCTCCGCGTATCAGTCATTAATGTCTAGCCATCATGATAGTAGACCTAGACTCCCAAAGTGCAGGTGCTTATAAGCGCACATTTATTTGTCTTGTCACCATCACTTATTCCGCCATAAATGAAGGGTCACGTCGTATTAAATACGATGTCAGCTATCGTACTCAGCTCCTTCGGGTCACCATACCTCGTCTTATCTCCTCGGCGCCTTTTGAACATTATAACGGCTTCATTATTCCACGTGTCAATCTGGAGGCTGTAGAGCCACCTAGAGTCCCGCCAATACCCTTGACCAATCCACCCTCAGTCTCTAATAGTTTGTTTGTTTTGCAAGAAGAATATGCATTTTGTCTTTTTTGTAGGAAAAAGGTGTACTTTGTCCATTTTCTCTCAAAAATTGAGCACACAAAATTCATATCACCCTCAATATCGATTTTTTGTCATAGTACATATGAATCAATGGGTACATATATTTATTTATCATATTTGTACACAAAAATCATTGAATATATGTATTTATTCATTATTCTTGTGTACTAACTATATTTATGAGATGAATGTAAAATGTAAAAAAATGAACATTTATCATTACATGTATCATAATTATTACATGCATGTATAACTATACACATGTACATGAATACTATTTATTGAATTATATTTATTAGTACATGGATTAACTGTATTCATGTGCATCTATGTATAGTTGTATACATGTATAAACTAGATCCAAATGTACTATAGGTTTCCATCATTGCCCATAAGAATTTGAAGGATGTGCCTTGAATCTAATATCATCCAACACATTGCAACGCTTTACAATATATTACACAAACTTGAGAATTCAGACCACATAAAAGTTGATGATACTAAAAATTGGCTAAGGTTGAGATCAGAACTCAATCTGAGCAGGTAAGCTCGAACCACGTAGATCATCATAAATAGCACGTAGTGCGTAGATCAGTAATCTCCAATAACAAGATCCTCGTGGGCATAATAATGTGACAACTGACACTTATTAAAAAGTCGCGTGTAACTCGTAACGATCCAAAATTGTGGCAGATAAATCGCAACCGCCTTAAGACTATCAACATTGATTACGCAAAGAGAACATTGGTTATGAGAAAGTGACAAGGATCGTGCAAGGCATTTGAAGACTATAAAAGGGGGTCAAATCACTCACAATGGATTCAAGCAATTTATTTGCACTATTACCCTGTGTAATCTTCTCCTTTGATTAATAGAAAATTTCCTCCCAGGAGCAAGATATTTCATACAAGTAAATTAGTCGAGTTCTCGAACTGATGAACCACTATAAATTTCCTAACTACTATTTCTCAAATTATGTTGCCTAAACACCAAGAGCCTAAGAGCTCTGACCGGACATTTTAGTGATTCCCAAACCTGTAGATAATAAACATTTGCTCAGTTGTGCAGGACACACCATCAAAAGTATTTTTATTAGTAGAGTTTTAAACATAACTACTTGTGCAGAGTTGGTTAAAAACAATGAAATACTCGTGTCTCAGCTTAACTTATTTTGTATGTATTTTCATTTTGTTGTAATTCCTTCTAAATTATTGTAATTTTACGTACAAAATTAACCAACATAAGTTTTGCCAATTTGAATTGTCAACGAGTTTATTTATTATATCTGTTCGATAAATATATCAATTTTTTATCTAAAACAATAAATAGAGATTAAAAGAATAAAATATCGGGTACCATAAAAAAATACTTAAAAAGAGAAAAAATTATTAACAAAAATAAAGACATAAAAATAAATGTAGGATTATATTTATATTTAACTAATTTCATAATTTTTCTTAATTAAATTTATGGTCACGACATGATACTACATAGTTAGTAGAATTTTTTCAATAAAATTTATTTTGGGAAAATTTCACTCACACCTTCCTAGTTTACTATATCTTCAAAAATATTCACTCGATTATCAACAACGTCATTGACACCCCTTCTAGTTTAATTTAAACATTACTAACACCCTTTACCATTAAACTATCATTTCTAACAAAAAAAAAAATTAAAATACCAAAAATGCTTCTACATAAACCTCAAGTAAGTTTTCTACATATCATTTTATTAAAATTCGAGTTGTTAAAATTTTTAAAAAAATTCGTAAATAACAATTTTAACAAATAATTTGTTAGTAAATACTAATTTGTAAATTTAAAAAAAAAATTGAACCTATTAAAATTTATTTTTTACATATTAAAATTTGAGTTAATTTGAACTCTACCCGAATTATTAGCGCCGATTAAAATTCTCTTTCGAGTCGATTAAAATTTATATTTTTTTACTTATTAAAATTCGTGTCAATTAAAATTCAATTTATTAAAATTTGAGTCAATTAAAATTTAAATTTTTTTATATATTCAAATTTGGGCCGATTAAAATTCAATGTGAATTGATTAAAATTTAATTTGAGTAGATTAAAAATAATTTTTCATTGGCTCAAATAAAATTTTAAATAGCCCAAATTTTAATACGTAAAAAAAATATAATTTTTAATTGGCTCAAATTTTAATACCCAAAAAAATAAATTTTAATTAGTTTGAATCGAATTTTAATATGTAAAAAAAATTAGAAAACAAAGGAAGTCTCATTGAAGATTTACTTATTTAGAGGGAGTCTCATTGAAGATATGTTTATCTAAAAGGGTGTGGATGAAGTTTGTCCTCAAATATATCGTGAGCAATTTAGTAAAATTGCATTCTAGTTAATATTTTTAATCTGACGGGGTATCACTGAAAATTCAAAACATAGAGGGGTGTGGTTGAAATTTTCCCATTTTATTTTAATTTTATTACGTGGAAGTTCTTTGGGACTCAGACAAAAAGTCTCCACGAGGCAGGACTGCCCTGGCGCCGAAACAGGTCTCTCGGGGATCAGGTGACGTCGTCGACATCTCCGCCTCCGGCGACCGCCACGCTTTCATCCAACTACCCCATTGTTTCGTCGAAGAACGCCGGGAAATGACGTTATCTCGATAAAGCCACAAGCGGCGAATTGGGCATTGAAAAGGCAAATGCAGCATTCTATCAGCACAGAGGGATTGATTGGTTGTTTTTGGTTTTGTACGACTCTGGTTTCTCTGAGGTGTTAAGGAAGGCAAGGGAGCCAAATTTGGGGACGTTGGTGGGTTTGGGGATTGGGATAGGTCGCTGGGGAGGCACGCGGTTTTGTGGGTGCCTTGTATTGAAGTTGAGAATGGGAGATTAGTGAGAAGGATTTGGTGTCTAGGAGTAAGAGGAAAAGTTATTTTGTTGGTAGGAATGGTGGGTTTTTGTCAGTTACCCATTTTGATGGGGAAATCAAGGTGAAAATGAAAGGAATTTCGATAGCGTAGTGGAAGAACTTGTTTGTACTGTTGACTGTTTTTGGTGTTTGGGGATTTCAGCAGTTTCTGGAGGGAAGAGGGAGAGGAAGAGGAGGTATAGGATTTGGAGAAGGGATGAGTTGAATCCAGAGGATAATGCTCAGACTAGTGTTGATCAATTTCTAGATGATGATGAATGAGGGTAAAGAGGATTTCTTATTGAATAGCGAGGATGACCCGTACTTTTGTTATTGCAAAGGTTAGTGCTTTTGTGGGAGTTGTTGAAATGTCTATGACTACATTATCTGATGGGTTATTCAGTATGCCTCTCACATTTATGTAAGCAATCATGGAAAGTATGATATGCCATCTTCTAAGATTTTTTCTTGTCTTACTTTTGTTTGTGCTTGATTTTTGTTCAGCTAATATGTATAATGTGCATCTTAGACCTTATAATGAAAGTTTAAATGTTAGTAGAACACGGTGTTGGGATATTAAGCGTGAATTTGTTCGGAATTGTAGATTTGTGTGGAGAAATTCAATCACTTAGTCTTATGGCCGTTCTAACTGCCCTATTGGAGGAAAATTTCGGTATTGTAGAGTCTTCTGCACTTTTTCTTTTTTTGGAAGAGCACAAGTGTATATATTACCTCAATAAATCCTATTGTTCTGCTGCTTTGTTCTCTATGTCCTGATAATTTTTGTCAGTTTCATTATGTCTCTAAAAATCTTTAGTTTTTGGTTCATTTTCCCATCAATGTTGAATAGTTTGTGAAATGATCCTAATCTCTAGTTGTGAGGTTATACTAAGATGCATGCTGGAATGATATGTGACTCACAGCTTATTTTAAAATAAGACGAAGGAAACCGTAAGGAAAACTTATGCCAAAATAGGCCCATGACCTCCCACTGGAATAGCATAACTTAAACTGCGAATTTTGTGATTGAATCTCACTCACCATAGTGAAGAAGTAAGGAGGAAGGCCAAAACAAACATAGTGACGCTATGCTAATGCACGAGCTGAGAGTAGATGGTGGCTTAAAACAATTCCTGTAGCTGTTGAACAGAGTTTTAAACCTCAAATTAAGGAGCAAAACATTTAGAAGTGTAGAATGCCATTTTTCTTTCTGGATTTACAGATATTTAGAATAATATAGTTATAGTTGGAGAAGTACTTGGAACTGTTATTTTATATCCAAACAAATTTTATGCTTTGAGACTTAAATGAAACCATGTGCAATCTTGAATTTTATATCATTAGATGGCCTACCTTAGCTTCATATTGAAGTGGGTTTGCATGATGATAGGTGTCCCATTAATCCCTGACAGATATGGCTCCCTGCCCAGTGAGTGTGTTCTCCAGGGATGCTATTTGGAAAGGAGTTCTCTCAATAAGTGAATAAAGTGGATATAGGTTACTCAGAATAGCTGAATATTGGAACATGTTAGTGAGGGATTGTTTGAGGTTTTTGATTCGAGATGTCTGTTCATGATGAGGTTGACTGATGCAAGGTATTTGGAAATGTTTTATGGAATGAAGAGATTCACACATCAAAATGACATTATATGTGGTGATTCGTAGCAAGAAAGGCTTGAGGTGCAATCCTCTTTTATGGTGTTCATGGATACTATGTGCATCTGAGTTTTCCTTTCCCTTGGAAAGACAATGAAGAAAACCATCGTTCAATTATTCCCGGAAGAGTCTTATTGGTGTATGTTGTGTGTTTGATCTTCTCTTTTAAAAGAATGTCACCACTAGGAAGTGTGAGAACTTCAAATCAATGAATGAGAATATTACTGACAGGAGGGAGTTGGGTATAAGCAAGTGTGAGGAAGCAAAAAATATAGGGGAGTGTGGAACATGTCATAGCACTTAGTATGACTCTAAATGTTTACTAAAGTATATTGTTGGTGTCTTCAGATCTCTCTGTGGAGAGGACAGTTGAGGTTCATGGGTGATTTTTCTTGAAGTTGTTTGACTAAGGATGGCTTTGAGTTGGAAATAAGCGTCTTGATAGATTTAGGTGTTTAATTCATTCTTTGGATTTTAGGTATTCCTACATCAGGATTGAATTTTTGTGTTATATGGTCTCACTTTTGAAGCTACGCAAAATGGCATTTTCTTTTTCTTTTTTATTTTGGGTAAATAAATATTGTATTGATGTGCTATGAAGAATTACAAGGCCATAGGCTTATACAAACAAAAGCCATCTGCACCAAAACATGGTGACAAAGACCAAAGAAAAGCCCAAAAAGAGACAATCTAACAGGATTACTGGTTATTTGGCCAGAGCTCCTACAGATTGATCTCATATAGTGTAACAAAATACAGCAACTTTAGCACTAGCTAATCAAGCTAGCTAGAGATAAATGCCACGCCTGGAGTATGACATTTTCTTTTTTTAACCATGGTCCACAACTCATTTTATATTCATCTTGCCCCCTACCTTTGATGTGCTCTGTTACTGAAGCGTGCATTATCTAAGATGTGGATGGTCAACTTTCTTCCAGCAAGTTGCCTATTTAAAATGCTGAGCTACCCTTTTTCTATGAATATTTTGTTATCTAGAGTATCAAATTCCAGACCCAAAAAAAAAAAAAAAAAAAAAAAAAAACCCTAGAGTACCAAATGTTTGTGCTCCAGGTGCAAATATTTTGGCCTACTAGTGAACAGAGCCTCATGAAATATTTCATCCTTCATTTTAAGTGATCAATGTTTTATGGTAACGTAGTAGTTTTCATATTCATACCAGTTGTGCCGGCCCTTCTCATGGCATAACCTGCGAGTATTACATAGCATGAATGCTTGCTTAGGATCTATAGCCGAATCTTTTCAACGTATATGACAAACATCAGAACAACCAACTAGGAAAGACAACTAAACGAGAATACACAAAGAACTGTGTTCTTTTTTATCTTTTAACAGAAGTAAGAGAATTGCAGAATTTATCCAACTTTATTGTCTGTAAAGTTAATCACCACTATGAAGTGTAGTGGTCTTAAACCATTATCTGTGTTCTCACCCTTTAGGTTGTGTTGGTTTTTGTCTTGACTTAAAGAGGGACAATTCTATCAAACAAGTTCATTTCTTCAGGCGTGTTACTGTCTAGTCTAGTCAGATAAGTGATGGGTATAATCAGTTGAGACCAACTTTTCTGTCTGTATCCCAGAACCATGTATTATCAATTGACATTCTTGGTGTTTTGTGGCTGGTAGTAGCAATAACAGTACCAGTTAAAGATGCTTTCACTTGAATAATATCATCGATACTATATTACAATATCTTCTAAGCTTTTATATTTTATAAACCCTGGTTTGTGTTGGAATCCTCATTTAGTAGCTACTGTCTTTCTGCATGGTGCGTGCCTAACAGTGTGACAATGGAATTTAAGAAGCTGTTTTGTGGGTTCTGATCTTGAAGCTGGTCCCTTCTTCAGAATCTTCGTTGATGGAAATTATGCCCCGTGTCTGAATGTTTGGTTTTCGGTTTTTTTTTAGGTTCAATGGCTAAGAGTGTCTGGACTGCTTACGCACACCTTAACTAATTTATTTTTCCGTCCAGTCAAAGACATGTCATCCACGCCGAGACTAGGGTAATTGTGAGGGATAAATTCCTCATGGCCTAATCCCAATAGATTGTCAAGATTCGAACTTAGAACGTCTGAATTTACGTCTTACTCCTATTACCATTTGAACAATCATTGGGGTTGAATGTATAGATTTCAATTGTTGGGACCGTCAAGGTAATTTTTTGGAGGGTCTACATGGTGAATTAGTTGAAAAGGAGTGATTCGCCCCAAATGAACGATTAAAGTCTTATTTAGATGAATTTTGGGGATGAGTTTAGATTGACTTCTTCAAATTCAAACTTCTCTTTATAAAGATGAGATTCAACATTTAATCTAATTCATACCTATATTTGGTATGTAACATATACACATGTAAAATCCACAGATATATCATAATTATTAACAATTATTTGTCCTGAAAATAACTATTTTATCCTTGATCAATCTAATTCATACTCATGTTAAGGGGTAGAATTATCTTTTGGATCCTTAACCCCTTATCCATCTTCCCAAATCCACCCTTCTTAGGTTTGATGAAATTCATGATCATGAGTTTAATTTTCAAACCAGCTAGGGACTAGGCCAGGTTTAGAAACTCGGGACTGAATTTTTCATACAGATATGAGATTTGGGAGTTCTTTGAACTATTTTTCCTAAACCCATCTTGCTAACCCCCCCATTACCTTCTTACCAAACAACCCCTACATATCGAAAATAGATGGTAGTATTGAACCTTGATCATATGATTCTTATTAAGTTGGATCAACAACCAAGTCAATAACACATCAAGATTTAGTCCAATCATTTACACAATGGTATAGATAATGCTTTCACCAAACTTCCCCTACTTTTGTTTCAAATTCAAAGGATCCAAAATCGATAAAACTGTTTCTAAAAATTGACGAGTGATTATATATATTCAAAGTAGTTGTACGTAAAATTATCATGAATTCAAAGCATAATAGTTAAAAAAAATAGTACACTTAAACCTTGTGGACCGGTCCACATGCATTGGCCCTATTGGCTTGGAATTTATGTCCAAAAAGAAATGTGAACTCATGGACCCTTCCTTATCTAAATCAAGGAGGNCCCCCCCCCCCCCCCCTCCCATACCCCCTTACCAAACAGCCCTTAAAGTCGTTGGAGATAGACCCACAAAGGACTCAGATTCCGTTCAATATAATCGTTTTGGAGAACAAATATTCCACCATAAATTAGTATAGGTGTTCGGATATAAAATATTAAATTTCACGAATATTCAATATATTGACATTTGACAATTTGAATCCACTAAAAAATTGTCATGACAGAATTTGAAAAAATACAGGAGATGATTAGCTACAATCAAATTTGAAAAGAGGAATAACTAATTAGGGTTACCAGTTAAATAACCATCGATGGATGCACAAATCGTAGAAATCAATGGCTATAAAAATGCACAGGGTGGAAAAGATGAATAATACACTCAAACCCTCTACAAGATCCACAATCTAAATATTTTATGAGTAGTTTTAGATTAGTGTTGTTACTCCTGTAATTAAGACTGTTTAATCAATCTTTTCTGTAATCGAAATCTTTTCAATTGAGTTAATAAAAGAGCCTTCTTTTATTAATTTCATGTGTGTGTTTGTCCATTAATTTCATTCAAGAAAATTCTGAAACAAGATAATTGAATCTCTCACAAATAATCACCTAAAAATTGTCTATCAATCGAGAGAAATCGGTGATAGTCTCAAAATCGGATTGTCGGCAAAACCCCATGTTGCAAAAGAGCCACTATTCTATTCAAGTGGCAAAGGTTATGGTATGGAAGGAAATAAGTATGCTTGTGATTAATATCTAAGTATATGCAGCTATAAAGGGCATCCAACTGCAGAACAGTCACCTTCAACTCATCACTCTAGCTTATTGGATGACATTTTCTCATTGGGATTAATTATTGGATAGCTTTTATTTTTGGCGGAACTTGAAATTGATGGCTCAAAGAGACCTAACAGGTGGGTCTCATTTGCCAAAGTTTTATTGAAGTTTAGTGGTTTTGAATAAAAGACAAAGACTACGGTACTAAAAATAATTTTTTGGTATTGTCTTTGGGCCTCTAAATTTATCAACTTTTGTCGATTTTGATACAAGTTATGTGATTTGTTTAACTCCGTCAGTTTGGTATTCAACGCTGTCTGTCTCAAGTCCATATAAAGAAAGAGGGTTGCGTTAAGTAGTCAATAGCTAGCATAAAACTTTGTCGGATCTGTACTAATACATTATGTGATTTGTTTACAGCAAAAAAATTTACAATTTTTGAGTCAAGTTATAATTTTTATGGTAACTTACAATCGGTCCATTTTAGTGTTTTGGGTTTTTTTTGTTAATCATAAGACATTTTTTGAAGTTCTTAAGCAAATAGTCAAGGTCAAAAGCCATTTAATTAGGTACTTCTTCCCAATTTGGTCTAATGTGATAATACATAATAAAAAAAGTCCATTAAAAGAAACGTCATGTGACAAAGAAAGTAGAACAAGGGTGTTAATTCTAAGAATAATGTTATTTAGATCTAAAAATTTGACTTAATTTATTGATATAATGATGTAGTTTTATAGAAATCATTGAATCAACACCAAGTTTCAATGTTTGACGAAGTCTACAGTCAATTCAAAAGTCACAGTGAATTAGATCAATAAATTATATCCCAGTATCATTGTTGTAATTCTAATTGTCCTTCTTTATTTCCACTTTCTTTATAACACATTGCGTAGACGGAAAGTCACTCAAAACTCATCCATCCCACCGCCACTCACCAACCCTCATTTTCTCTCATGAACTCAATATATAAATTATCAATTCAACCCCCCATATCTCTCTCCAACACCCACTTGTTCACAATATCCACTCAATCCTCCACACAAAAGCAAACAAATAGTCGAAATATGTGTAAACTAACTGTGACATATCTGATTGTCGATAAAAATAAAATAAAAAAATAAGATAAAAATATGTTATGGTTCTTTTACATATGTACTTCGAGTTTCTTTGTTGTTTATCCCTTCAATTGGGGCGTTTTAACCCTATTGAAGTTTCAATTTATGTTATTTAAGACTAATGAAAAAGGTTTTTCAAATTATGAAAGAAAATGGTCACTTTGTTACTATACTTCAAGAATTACTTTGATACTTGAAAGTTTTAAGTTGTATCACTTTAGTTATCGTTCTTATAATTTTGTCATTTTTATCGTCAGAGTATTTGAGGAAAATATCATTGAGACTTGATCACCTAAGGTGCATATGGTCATTTCCATTAGTTAATTGATACTATGATTCTCGATCAGATCAAAATAATCGAATTAAAACTTGAGATACTAAAGTAACATATTTGAAAAAATAAGGATAAAAATTCTAAAAAATTCATAGTCAATGGACTACTAGTGTATTTTATCCTAAAATATATTATCCTATTCTTTTCAAAAGTAATCAACAAAAAAAAAAATCCCTATGCTTGAAAACATTGCTCAGGACAAGAGAGTTAGCCTCCGGCTCTTCGTCATATAAATATTCAAAATAACAGTTATACTTACACCACGTCATTATCGTTATGTAGTATTATCTATCAATAATAAATAAATAAGTAAAACGAGTGAAACATAATAATTTTTGAATGTGAAAGTTATTGGTAATTATAGAATTTAGTGTGATTCACTAATTCTATGTTTATTTATAATTTGTTGGTGACAATATGAGACCACGACAATGGCTAAAGGCCCTCAAAGTTTCATAATTACACTTTGGACTGCAAACATTGTTTTGGGTTTTATTTTACATGGCTATATCAAAATTTAAAAAATATCCTTTATCCTTTTTTTTTTTTTATACCTTTATACCTTCGCAATCATGATCTTCATTTTCTTTTATCCCTTAATTATTTGTTTGGACACATTCAATCATTAATAGTTCAACATCAATAGTCGATGGATATAGCGAAATCATGGCAAAAAAAAAAAATTGGTTCGATTTCTAAATAATAATAACAACCTGATATCTCTAGTTTGGGCGGTAATACCCGCAGCATCCTTCGATTCACGTCCAGCCGTCGGCAAGCAAAGGCAAAGCGAAGTCTCCATCACACAGTCACTCTACGTGGATTAGAAAACTACACATGCCCTTTGGAACTCAAAGGGGGAGAGAGAGAGAGAAGATCGATGGAGTGTGTCGGCCAATTTTGGACTTAACTATAAAGAAGATCAACGTGGCCGCCGTGCCCAGACGACACACTAGCAGCCAACTAAGGCAACCCAAAGCCTACTTCTTCTGTGCACTCCTCATCCTCTTACACACCCCTTTCTATCTCTCTCTACATAATATATATATATATATATATATAAATATTCATTGAATCTATATATCTCTGTGTATGTATGTAGTCCATATATTCCTATTTTCTCCAGATGGGTTTTATGGCCAAGCGTTTTCTAGGAAAGTTAGTAGAATCTCCCTTTGAGCTTTGTTTCTTTGTTTTAGGGTTATAAATTATACCTACTTCACCCTTAAGTTATGTTTTTTTGTTTTAGGGTTGTAATTACTTGTTTCTTCGGATACAATTATAATCTCCATCTCTTTTTTTTTTCCTCTCTCCTTGGTTCTTCTTTTCTCTTCTACGTTTAAGGGCTTGAACTTATAACTACCTTGTTTCTTCCCATAAAATTGTACAAATAAAGGGTGGTTCCATCTCCCTTTTTTTTTCTCCCTCCACGGGGTTTCTTTTCTTTGCTCAAGTGTTTTAGGGTTATAAGTTATAACAACCTTTGTTTCTTCGGATACCAAAAAAGGTTTTGTGTGTCCCTCTCTCTCTTTTGATCTCTCTCTATCATGATGGAAAGAGAGTGTTGCTCAAGTACTTCAGAGAAAAGGAAGCAGAGACAAAACCAACATGAGAAACCCTATAGAGGGATAAGGATGAGAAAGTGGGGGAAGTGGGTGGCTGAAATTAGAGAACCTAACAAGAGGTCTCGTATTTGGCTTGGCTCTTACTCTTCTCCGGTCGCCGCCGCTCGGGCTTATGACACCGCCGTGTTCTATCTCAGAGGCCCTTCTGCAAGACTTAACTTCCCGGACTTAATAATCGGAGAAGATGAACTTCACGACTTGTCTGCCGCTTCTATACGCAAGAAAGCCACTGAAGTTGGAGCCAGGGTTGATGCTCTCCAAACTTCCGGCCATCAATCATCGGAATCAAATTGGAGCCGAGCTTCAGAGAAGCCTGATTTGAATGAGTACCCAAGCCCAGAAACCTCCGATGAAAACTGAAATCATCGTCTCTTACCATTTTCTTTGTTCGTCGTGTAAGGTATCATCAGGCAGCAAGGAAGTATTTGATGGACAACAAGTACGAGGACAAGGGAATGAATTTGTTTCGATCTGAAAAGATTGAAGGGTTTGATTTGGTGGAGATAGTTTAATCAATTGTTGTTGAGATGTCTCAGATATAATCCGAAGGGATTATATGTATTATGTGATTTTCAGTTGCATAGTTGTAAAAACGCTAAGGATTAAAAGCAAAAATTAGCTAATTTTGTATGTAAATTCTTTCGAAAGTGTTTTGTGAATCAATTACTATTTTCATTCTCTGTTTTTACTGTTTCATTGAAGTATTTTCATGTGTTGGATTTCTCCCACTCCATTTTCTAAATTCTCAAAATTCAATTTTTTTTATTCAATCTAAGATTATATTTAATCAAACTTTATCATATTTTTTTTATAACATTTTTTTTAACGGTCAAGAGTGTTCAACTCAGTTTATACGTAATTTGTCTAATTTTTTTTTCAATTCGGTCAAAGAAACCTAGGACTAGGGTATTCATTTCTAATTCAGTCTAGAACTAAAGTATTCATGAAAAAAAAATTATTTGTGACTTGGCTTCAAAGGGTCGTCGAAATTCGGACTTAATTGTGTTATTTGTAAGTTTTGCGTAGCCGAACAAAGGTGAATTACTCGGAGGCTGGGGGTTACTGGAATGTCCGGTCAGAGCATCTAAGTTCTTGGGTGTTGAGTTGTTGACTCAAATCAAGTGATAGACGATGAGTAGAATGATAATTTATAGCGATTTATCGGTTCGAAAATTTGACTACTTCATTCTAATAGAATCTCTTGTTCATAAAAAATTTTCTATTATACAAAGTAAAATGTTCAGATGATTGTTTGATTACAAATGGGAGGGATTTGTCTTTTTATTTATAGTGTACATTCTGTTTGATTGTCTTGCGTGATTTTTGCGATTCTCCCGTAACCAATGCCCTCCTAACTTCTTTCCCTATTGCGACCCATGTGTTAAAATATTTAGTCGTTACGGTTACATTTCCTAAACGTAACATAATTTTTTAGAATGTGTTAGTCGTTGTTATCATCGAGTGCACGAAAGTCTCGTTGCTAAAGATTCTTGACCTACGCATCCCGAACTAGTGATCATGAGTTGAGGGGTCTAAGCTTAGATGACTGAGTTAAACTTTAGCTAATTTTTGGTATCATCAATAACTATCTATTAATTCTTTAAAAACCAACTATTATTTTTTCAAAATTTATTCAAAAATAAATAAATAAAAATTAAAAAAATACTATTTATAATTTCGTGCATCTGATAAAGAAAACATCTATATGGCCTACACTAACGAACAGATAAGAAGATGAGCCAATTTTTGGCGTCCAAACTGGTACCTGTGAGGTCCATGTGGACACCACACCCATCATTCTCTCTTACAGTCTCGCACACTCGCATATACACACAGACAACATAAGAGATTAGTGGTCTTGAATCAGGGAAGTTGTCACCGTCATGGGATGGTGAAGTGTGCCTTGTAAAGGTGGTTCACTAGTGGGTAGGACATGGTGGGGAGATTGGTCGATGGTGGGCTTTTATTTTTTGGTTTTATATTTAAAAATTAATGGAAAACTAATAGTGTCAAATTTGATTATATACATGAGGTCTGTTTATGATCTGCTTTTTTTTTTGTTTAAATATCAAGGGTGTTTGAATCATCTTATGTGTACCTCGATTAATTCCCTCTTTAATAGCTAGAATTGATTCTCTCTGTCTTTCCTTCCGTTCAGGGGCGCTCTAAAGGCTTTGCAACCTTCAGAGCTAATTGAGAGTGGTCTAGTTAATTCCTCTTGACGAACAATTTTAGGTCCTTATTCTCTATCCTATCCTTCCTTATAGATTCCCACTTTCTAAAGCTAAAAGGTCAAAAGGGAGATTCGTCGATGGTGGGCTTTTTTTTAAAAAATTTTTTATATATAATTAAAAATTAATGAAAAAGTAATAGTGCCAAATTTGATTATATACCTTAGGCCCAGTCTATGATCTGTTTTTTTTTGTTTAAATATCAAAAGTGTTCGGATCATTTGATTACACGCACATTGACTAATTCTCTCTTTAATTTAGTCAAAAATTGACCATTTATGTCGAGATTAGAATATTTATGAAAGATAAATCGCTCACCACCTAACCTCAAGAAATTATCAAAGATTTAAACACATAACTATTATAAAACATAGCTTAACTTCTCTCATTTTTCTCATTTGGACGGCTCTTTTTTTTATACTTCATTTACGGCATAAAATCAGCGGCTACCTAACTTTGTATTCTCTATTCTAATCAAAATTTGACTATTTTTTTTCTTCATTTTAAAGCATTCAATCATTCGGAATCTTTCATTCCAATCACACGTTTTGTTAGATTTATAGTTGCAATGTAAACATCGAATATTTATAATCATATGCTATCCATTCAGATTAGTTATTTTTAAATTTTATGTGGCTAAAAAACTCCAACTATTTCTCGTCCTTTTTCAAGCATCGAATTAAACTGTGCAAGTTTCGATCATACAACGCAAGATCTTGAGGTATTTCTTTCAGCCCTTATAATATTGTTCATACATAAATTGCATCTAAATACATAAATTGTGTATAGTTGGCCTCTTTTTGGTTTAAAAAATGCATAGGCAATTACTTGGTTGGCTGAATAAAATGATTTAAATAATTCTAGCAAGAAATTCAACTAAGAAGGAAGAAGTTGTCCATATTAAAATGGAGAATTATTTATCAGTGCAAGTTTTTCAATCTTATAATCAATTACCAAAGAGGAAAAATGTGCCAAATAACACTAAGAACTGGGGTATTGTATTCATTTTTGTTCAACTATAAGACCTGGAAGTAGGAAAGTCAAAATGGATCGAATTTTGATATGAATTCAATTAGTTGGATATGGATTGATATTACTTACCAATAATCTAAGCTCAAATCTAAATTGCTTATGGATTTCAATTTGGATATGTCTATATCCGATCTAATTATGATTCCATCCGAAATAAGTATATATTTCTATATAAATATAAAAAAAAAAAGTGATTATTTAAAGAAATTTAGATGTACTATGTTAAAATTTAGTTAAATTAAATTTCTCGGATTAGATCGGATTTTTGAATCGAATTTTGTTGTGAATCTGATTAGTTGGATATAGAATGTTGTTTCTTACTGATAATCTGAACTAGCATCTGAATCCGCTCACGGATTCGAATTTGGATATGCCTCTACCCGATCTGACTATAATCTGATCTAAAAAATATGTATAAATATCAAAAAAATTAAGTGATTATTTGAAGAAATTTAGATATACTATGTTAAAATTTAGTTAAATTAAATTACTTAGATCAGATCAGATTTTTGGATCGAATTTTAGACTGTTAATGAATTTGGATATGAATCAAAAAAATAAAATCTGACGGATAATTAGACCAGACTTTTAAAATCAGATTCGAATCAGTCAAAATCTAATACATTAACAAACCTACTTGGAAGAATAGATCCTCGTGAGCAAGCAGATTTGAAAATTTTAAGTTCCATTCAGATTGAATAATAACAAATTTAGATCCATTCCGGTATAAAAATTTCTAAATCCGCTATAAGAAATCAATATTATGAATTTAAGTGAAACCCACTCTATCAAAACAAGTTCTTCCTCAACATGGAGAATGAAGGGAATTCAATATTAGAGTCGATTCTAATACAATTACTCAAGTTGCAGTCTGTTTTATTATCATAAAAAAATTAGTTAAATCTCTTGTATGAAAATCCATAAGCTGCCCTATATAAGTTATCGAACAACTTTCTCAACCCTAAAAATTAAGAATGAAAAACACTATTTAAACTTGATTTGTTGACCTAATAAATTATAGTTATTAGATTAAAGTGACTCACAATTAGATCTGTCAATTGTGTCGAATGAGACGGGTTCATCCAGTCTTAGTAAGTTTGGGTTGAAAAGCACTCCACCCCGTACTTGATTTGTTTATTAATTCGTGTCTAACAAGTCCTGTCAAATCAGGTTAATGTCGTGTATGAATCTTATACAATTAGTATATAAACGAGCTGTGTCGTGTTGTGTATTTCTTTTTAATTAGTTTTACCAATACTCAATTCATTTATTAGTCATGTCGTATCGTATTCATGTCGTGTTAACAAGTCGTGTAATATTTTGATGCCTCTACTGATAACTAATTTAATGACATTACATGCAATCCTTAGGCTCACTTGTTTGAGACAAAGCATCGTCTAGTAGAGCAAATCACAATAAGAGTGGGCAATTTGTTTAATATTGCTTAGTCTTGTCTGTAGTAGTATTGAGTATGTCCGTCTAGAAAGTTCCTGGTTCAACAAACAAAAACGCAAAAATGATAGCCCAGGTTGTCAATCACTTTTAACCTGTATGACGCCCTTGTGCATAGACAACTAATACTGCTACCACCCACCAAGCACCCACTAGGAGATGGGACTCTGCAACTTCTTTGCCAACCACTCACCCACTTAGATTCCAAAACGATATGAGTGTATTATTTATAATTTAAAATACAATAAATTTTAATAATTTTATTTGACAGTTTTAAATAGACTTATTTATCGGTCACTAACATTCCTCTCAAAATCATTCACATAATACAGTAATTTCAAGCACGGATTACCTCTAATATACAAATATATTACAATACTATATTTGGGTCAAGTTGGACCTAGGTCTGAGTTCAAGTCTAGGTTGGGGCCTTGGTCCAAGATTGGGTTGGGGTAAGGTACAGGTCCAAGGCAGGGGTCTAGGGTCCAGGGCCTCGTCTGAGTTTGGGATTCGAGTTTGTGTTGGAATCCAAGTTTCAGGTCTGAAGTTTGAGGTTGGAATTTAATAAAATCGTATATTAATCTAAATTGTTGTTAAATATTGGACGGATAATGTTCATTTTATTTGACTCACTAATTTATTTTC